CATACACATAAAATAAAAATAATAAATAAAATGCAGCTAACAGCTGTCCATAACTCCAGTTCCAGGGCATCCAACAGCCTCTTCTGTCCTCTGCGGGCATTGCACAACACGGGTGCACTTACTTACATGCAGGCAATACACACATATGTATAAAATAAAAATAATAAATAAAATATTTAAAAAATGGCAGAGAGGAGAGTGACCTTCAAGTCAGATCCAGAGCTGTAACAAAGACAAGCACTAGAGATGGCAAGCTAAGAGGAGGGATGGGAAGGTACTAAGAAGCCAGGGCTGGGGAGGCGACTCTACATGAGGCTATAAGGCCCTAAGTGCTAGGCCAGGAATGTGAGGTTTTATTTGGGGGTAGGGAAATGTGAGTCATTAAATATACCAAACCTACACTGAAAAGTTTGTGAGCCAAGTAGCAGGAGTGGCCAGCTAGTTCGTGGGGTGTGGTGCAAAGTGAAAATGTGGGCACCATGCTTAGATGTTGTGAAGCATTTGAAGATGTCAACAACAGCATGGAGCCAAGCAAGGGTTGGATGAGAGCAGAGCCTGGTGCTGCTCTGGGGCCCAGGGTCTGTGAGCTGAGGAGGCCTAGGATGGCCAGAGGGGATCAGAGAGGGTATGGAAGGTCTTGCTGTCCCCCAGTACCAGTTGTTCTTAGACATCTGGGCTACTGCTAATGTGTTCACTGGGAGCTCATTTCCAGCTGTAGTGTGATGTTATAAGTTGGGTATTGCTACGGAGCCCTTGTTAACAACCCCAAGCTGTGGCCAGCCCTCTTGTCTGTTGGGAGAAATACTGCACGATGATTGTGCTTCTACTTTGTGGAGGTGACACTCAGCAGCTCCTCTGTTCTCCAGGACAAAACCAAACAGAGCTCAAGGAGTCGCAGGGTGGTTTCTTTTCTTTCTCAAGACTAAGAGCACTTCTTAAAACACATCTGGTATAATTACAGAAAAACGACTCCAGGCTTTGTGTTCTGACAGTGCAAACAGCTCCAATGCTGTATGGGAAAATTGAGGACATTATCTTAATAAGGCGCCTCCAGTCACTTGAGCAGGAAGGTTCCTAGCAGCACAGGGTAACACTTAGCCAATTCGCTGAAATAAGGCGGATACTCCGATCTTCCAAATGCGATTGCAAACAAACAGCTCTTTCAAAATCCCAATTTTATTTTAATGTTTTTTGCTTATGCTTTAGAAAAGCAGTTTGTTAAAAATCAGTGAGATCTTTCCACTGTTAAACATCCCCCAAATCTTTGAGGGTGAGGCCCTCACACCAGGTTTGTGCCTAGGATTATCTTAAAAAAAAAAAAAATGCTGATTTTGCTTTGGGATTTTCAAACTGTAGTCTAATCTCACCAGTGAGTGATCCACTTTGGAAATGATCTAGAGCAAAATGTTGACCCCTAACTGGTTTCCCTACCTACACAGCAAATTAAAAAAAAAAAAAGGTATCTAGCTTTACCTGACTTGCACAAAACAATCGGGTGAACTTCATTGTACTTTTGAAATGATTGTGGTTTGTAAGCTTTTGAGTATTGTATTTTTCAAGCCCAGTTGACATAAATTTGGAGACTTGGCTTTTTGGTGCTCCAAGGCTCTGCTTCCCCCTGTAGTTCATTTGACAAGCCAGAGGGAGGGGACCAGTTCACTCCGTGAGCTTTTCCAATCTTCCCGAGGGCTATTGCAAAAGTCTTTTGGTGAAATTTGTGCCAGTCCCACCTTCAATTACCAAGAAGAGGTCTGACTCACATTTTCAGTGTTGTAAACAAGTGTGTTTAAAATAGCATTTTAAACTTGATTAATGTTGCTGACTGAAGAGTTAAAAGCATCACGTATAACCCACATTTTATGTTACAAACACGAATGCATGAAGTGTTGTAAAGTTGGTTCCTATATTCCTGATTACAAGCCATCAAAAATGGGGCGCATCAGAGCCTGCAGACTTTCCCAGGAGCCTTTGGACCAGTCCTAGAATTTAGAGGCAAAGAAGTTAATGGTGCAGGAGGAGAAAATCAACCTCCTGGGGTGGCTGCAGCCTGGTCCAGGCACAGTCAACACTCCTAGGCTGTGGTTTCCCTCTTGTTCCCTCCTGGTTACTATGACACGGTTTATACTTTCATCTACTGAAAAAAAGAGAGACCAGGTCTAAAATCTTTACCTCGACCTCCTCTTGGGCCCTTTCTGGACTAGGCAGAATGAGTACAGGCACAGTGTGAATCAACGGATTGGGAAATTAGAAACTACATCAGCGCAAATCTTTGGGAACTGGACCTTCCCTGGCTTTGGAAAAATATGTTTCCAGCTCACAAAATATGTGAGTTGGACCAGACTTGGGCATCCCCCAAGGACATGTGAGGGAAGCTGCCTAGAGCCTGGCTGATGGGAGTCCTCCTCTCTAATACCTTTTCTTAAAAGGGACCCACTCTGAGCTGAGATACCCCACGTCACACAGGCCCCACCCCCACCTCTGTATTCATGATCTAAGTGCTGTTGCCTGAATGGATTCTGTGTGGAGCTGGAAGGTTGGAGGCCCGTCTTCTGTTTGAAATACTGGAACAAAATCACAGATTGAATGCTAGAAATCACTGTTGGCAAGTCTTGGATACAAATTATTCTTGCTTTATTACTCTTGTGGTACTGTATATTTTCTGCAATTATGTGACTAGATGGGGAACAAAGGACATTTGATTTGAGAACCTGTACTTAATATTACATATCCAATAATACTTACCAATGCCCCAGGGCCCTTCAGCTTGATTTTTTCTTGGAGGGTCATGTGACTTCTTTTATAATTTCACTTGAACTTCTAATTCCATAATGGTAATTGTGTGCAAAAGGGTGTAGCAGACATCTACTGGTGAAGTGTACCATCACTTGGTCTAAAAAGTGACTTTCAGGTATATATGTACATAAAAGGAATCTTCTAAACAGACAATGTGAAAGCATCTTTACCTCTCTCTCTCCCACAAATGAGGTAAAGGCTTTGGTCTGTCTGTCTCTGTCCCACTCTGTCTCTCTCTTTCCTTCCCTCCCTCTCTTTTTAGTGCTGGTGACTAAGCATGCATGTAACCACTGAGTTACATCTTTAGCCCAAGCTGTAGTTGCTCTGTCTTCACTCACTCAGCACACAGTTTAAATAGTAGTCACATCTTTAAGAGCAGCTAAGGCAGCAGATGGCCTGGGATCCTTTGCTCTATCACTGGGGGCCGGCTCCCTCTGCTTCCTCCCTCGCCGGCATTGTCTGGGTGGTCTGCTTTTTATCAAGCCACTGTCAGTGGCTTAATTTATTTCCATAGTTACCTAGTATATTTGAAAGCAGTTATTTTTTTCCTCGTCGATCTTAGCTCACATCTGAATGACAAGCCGGAAGCCATAGGGCATGCACAAAATCTTTCTGAAATCTGGGGTTATTTTTGCCTCTAGCTTCAGCCAGTTGGTCTGAAGTGGGCTTTGTGGAAAGAAGCAGTGACCTTTTCATCTCCTTTGCAGACAGGGAAAGCAGCTGTTTAGGACAGGGATCTCGCATCCTAGACATTGCTGGGTTGGGTAGGGGGACGGTGGACTCTTCACTCTGAAATCGAAAGGAGCCGAGATTGGAATTTAGACCATTCTCCTGAGAGCACAAGCAAGTCACAAGTCTGTGGTCCACACAGCTCCCTGCATGCATCTTCCAGCCAAAGCAGCAGACCCAAGAGCTAGACTCCAAAATTTCATTTCATTTCTTAAATGATGAACAAACTTCCTTTTATAGCTGAGCTAATTTAAGATATTCTTGTTCCCTAACATTCATTTCCTGTTGCACCTTTTAGGAGTGTTCTAAGATTATTGGAAGGGAGCTAGTGCCTCAGCTAGAGATGACTTGCACCCTAAGGGGTCCTCATTTATATCCTTTTTGTCATTTAGGGAGGTTGAGGGAACCATGGCCTCAGTGAGTTAAGAAGCAAGTCTGTGTTAGTTTCTATGGTAAAGCGAAACTATTTATTAGCATTACAGAATAAGGATCGATTGTCAGAGATCATCGCGGGACAAATGGGCTTTCTCCACTCACTGGTATTTGCAGTTAGTATAACATTTATTGTTCTCCGTGTTTTCTGAGGTTAGTCAATGTATGATTTTTAGTCCTATTCATATTGGATTAACTGTTCCTTGGTGCTGTGTCGCAGGTGCCTGTGGGCCGGCATGACTCACAAGGGGATGATAACGGGCCATTTGGTTTAAAGGCTTGCTGAATCAGATCTAGCTCTGCTAGCAATACTTTAATTGAGATGGCATTGAACTGAGACAAGAGGGCCAACTCAGCTGGCTATGACTAATGCCACACAAGTGCCCATCCATTTCAGAGATATTGTGGGGAAGAAGGGAAGAGTGTTGTGTTCTCCCCACTACTCAGTGATCCGAGGGCACAGAACGGCTCTCCTTCTGAGGGGGATGTGCAAAGAGCTGGGAGAATTTGAGGGTAGAGCCCCAGGAGGTGCTCACAGAATCTTCATCTGGGGGCTGAGCACCAGGAATGGATGATGCCATGGTAACTGCTTGGCCGCCCTGCCAGCAGCTGGACCAATGTGGAGGGTGGGACATGTGTGTATCAGGCAAAGAGAGCATCGTGAGTCCAGGTGTGTGTACAGCCTTTGGTGTGCTTGGCAGCTGCAGGTGATGCATCCCCTCACTAGGTGAAGGTGTGGATTGCGGGCCTTTGTATTTCCTTCCAGCTTTGCCACTCTGTCATTTACTACCTGCTTTGCTGAAATCCCAAAGGAATTTTAAAGAGACAGTAGCTGCACTAGTGATAAAGAAAACACAGCTCCAAGCTTGGTGAAAAGACCCACACAGCCCAAGGTTTGCAGTGAGACCCTGTGCTCTCTGTCTGTCGGCCATTCAGCTTCACTGTTCTTGGCACTTAAATGCGTAACAGTGGAGTGTCAGCAGCAGCAGGATGCATGTCAGAGACACAGCTCCATGCTGTTGCCCGCTGTAGCCTAAGGAGTTCTTTTAGAGACTACCACTCAAGTGAAGTTGGGAGTCTTGACTTCAGTGCAGAAAAGGATTTCAGGATGAGCCAGTAGGAAGAAGAGTTGGAATTTATTTAGAAGAATCTTTAACGTAGATTTAAGCTTAATAAAAAAGAGAGCACTGGGTAAAATATAAGCTATACCCAGGTGGGGTGAGTGTGGGTTCCTCAAGAGATGGGTGGACTCAGTTGTCTTCACAATATACAGTCTTGATGGGTTCTGAAGTTAGATCTTCAAAGAGTTGCTCAGGAACTTAAATGACATCACAGGGTGGTTCCTCAAGTACTCTGGATTAGGTTACAGCTGATGCGGCAAAAACCTAACTCACAAGTGTTGCATGGAAAGACTGTAAAAAACATTTTATAGTCTTGTTTGTGAAGTTCCCAGAAATTTTCATTTGTGTCTGGAAAAGGAGGAAGGTCACATGCTCTCGGGCTTTAAGCATGATTTGCTGTGATTTTGATATCCGTATTTGAAATACTGTTATATAAGGAATGCACGTCTCTGTGTGGCACCCTTCACAGCCAATGGTAATTGTGCTGGAATTCTTGAATCTCAGCTGGCAAGAGACTTCAACTAGACCCTGGCGTGAAGAGCTCCTTTCTCTTCCCATGGCTCCTTAATTTTCCTGTCTTTCTATCCTGATGCAGTATATCCACCACCTCAGTTTAGACCAACCTACTCTTTCCTATGCCCCAGTGTTGGTTATATGAAAAGCAGGTACAACCCTGGTTCCCTCATGAATGTAGTAAGAACTTCAGGCCACCTGATTGTGGGCTCCTTGGATACAGTCACAGAAGGAAGAGATCTCACAGACTTCCAGCCCATTCCAGTTGTGCCCTGATGGTTGACTAGGGTCACTGGTCAGACTGTAGTCTAGGTGTGATGTTGTTAATGGTCTAAGGGCCACAGACAAGGGCTGTTGTATTTTCTTAAGTTTTGTCCAAAACTGCCAGACCTTCTACTTGCAGTTACGGAGGGACCACAATGTCGTAGGTGATTGCAAGGATGCTTTCGAGGCCCAAGGGCTCTGTGTAAGTGACAGGTAGATCCTAGGAGTTCGCTGGCCAGCCGCCCTAGCTGAAATTACATGTTTAGTGGGCATCTTTGACTCAGAAGGAATAAGGCAGAGTGGTCTAAACAGGGTACCTAATGTCTGCATCTGACCCAAATAAATACATTAAATAAATAAATAAAGAATAATAAAATAGTCTATGTTTGGCCAGAAGAACTTTTGGAAAGATTCTACCTAAAGCCACATCTGACCTCTGACTATATGGAAAAGTCTGGGCTTATAAGCCAAGTGAAGTTAGTCCAACATTTGACAGGTCATTTTTGTGTGTCTTGGTTTTCCTATCTATGAAACAGGGAGGTGATTGGCTGCTTTTAGGAAATCATTGAACTGGCTAAGCAACTGCTCATGGGGCTGAGTGCAAAGCCTTCAAAGGAAGGAGATATGAGGGACACTTTTCATGAAGGTCTGTACTAGAAGAGCTATAGGCAGGCAAGCCTGCATGTGGCACGCTTGGCTTTTGCTTTCCTGGGTTCATCCGACTCCTTTTCAGGTTCCTAGGATTCAGGGCTAGAGGTGCTGTGAGCTGTCCCAGGTTGGAAGAACTTGCAGCAGGAGGGTGACTCAACCAGGCTTGGTCCTTCCTCTGGCAGAGGTGCCTAGAAGCTGATACCATGTTCCCCTGCACACGTCCCCAGCACAGTAGGGACCAAGCTGTCTCTTCATCCAGCAGAAACAGAAAGAAAAAAGGGAGCAGAATGAAGGAGAAGAGAATAGAGGGATGGCTCAGCCAGTAAAGCACTTGCTTTGAAAGAATGAGGACCTGAGGTCAGTTCCTAGAACCCATGTAAAAGTGCTGGGCCTGGTGGGATACACTTGTAGCCCCGGTGCAGGGGAGGTGGAGCCGGGGGGACCTCTAGCTTGCTGGTCAGCCAGTCCAGGCTATTTGATGAGCTCTAGGCCAGTAAGAGACTGTCTCCCAAGGAGGTGAATGGTGTTCTCAGGAGTGACACTAGAGGTTGACCTCTGGCCTCCACATGCACATGTACACACATACACACACGCAAATAAAATAAAATAGATTAAGCAAGCAAATGAAATTTCCACATTATCTTTCCAGACTCAGTTCCCCTGGTAGACAGGGTCTTCTCTCTGTATCCTGGTATGAAGTAGTAGCCCTCATCTCTCTGCGGAGCCAAGAGGAGACTTGCCTTGGGGGAAAGGCAGGTATATAACCAGACCTGTGATCCAGGAAGGCCCATACCCTTTGGACTGATACCCAAACCCTGCATGGTCATTGGTCTTTACAGAGTGCCTTGGATTTTGACTCTTTGCCTAAGGTGTGAGGCCTGTCTTCTAGGCTGGCTCTGTTCACTATAGTCAGTAGGAAGGCAGATTTTAACCTCTTGCTTCCTAATGCCTCCTAACTTGATGCTGCTATGGGTAAATCAATCACTTCACCGCCTTTTACCACAGCCACTTGATTTCGGTTGTTCCTTTGGGGGAAGTTCTATCAAAGACTATAATTAGAAGAAGAACAAGATTAAAATTTACAGAAATAGGGACTCGTCTTTTAGATGTGTTTGGGGTAACTTGTCAATATTGTGTTAACATTTATTCCAGAGAAATTTCCATTCAGAGTGCCAGCTCATAAGTGTATTCACGTTCCAAGGCAGTCAAACACGAAAAGGTCACATAGGAAGCACAGAGTATATGAATTTTTAGACAAGTCAACCGAACACTTATCCAGCTGCTCCCAATGGGCTACGGCTGGAGAATCAAAACAAAGCCTTAAAAAAACAACCAGCAGTCACCAGATTCTCTTGCTTGTGTCTTGCAGAATCGGCTATCCAATCCCCATGTTTGCTGGATTCTGCATTATGTTTGTCTCAACAGTTAGTAAGTGTCTGCTGTTTGCTTTCTGCATGTGGGTCTTAGAAAGAGCCCTGCATCCCATGAGCTGAGAATTAGACTAGACAGTCCTGGGGGTGGGGTATGTACTGGCCTCAGCATGGAAGGGGAGGGCTTTGTGGAACAGGCCGCAGCCCTGAGAATGGACATGCTCCTTGACTTAAGGGAGGGCTTCAGGATCACCCCTGTTGGGACATCCCCATGCCACCGGCAGGGGCATGGCCTTGATGTGAGGGCCTGGGCCTTTTCTCTTGGCAGTGTTTGCCTTCTCCAGCAGCTATGCCTTCCTATTGATCGCCAGGTCCCTGCAGGGTATCGGCTCCTCCTGCTCATCTGTGGCTGGTAGGTATGAAGACACCTGTTGGAGGGGAGGCCTTCAGCATCACCCCAACTGGCACTCACATAGTTAGCTGATGAATGCAGGGATTGGGGGTAGAGAAGGGGGCAGAGAAAGATTCTTAAGAAGGTGTGCACCATCCTGTTGGATTTTCCCTGACCTCATATTTCAGTTAATTTCATGGGCACAGGAAATTTTTCCTGGTCTGCTGGGGAGGGAGCACAGGTTGTGGATGACATTTTGGGTCTTCTCCTGTTTAGGAATGGGCATGCTGGCCAGCGTGTACACGGATGACGAAGAGAGGGGCAATGCCATGGGGATTGCCTTGGGGGGCCTGGCCATGGGGGTCTTAGGTAGGTAAGGGTCACTGTGTAGTTGGGGCCTGTTAGGCATTGGGTAACAATGGTCCTATTAGTCCTGGCCATAGAGGGAGAGTGTCCACAGTCCCATGAAGAGACTGCCAGTACTCCTGTTTTCTACTTCCATGTAGCCTTTGGGAAATGGTTGGCAGAGTCCCTTGCAGGGAGGATCTGGGCTTCCCCCTGATCTCTGCCTCTAAAAACCTCCCAGGCCCCAATGTAAAACAGAGGCTTGAGAAGGCTATTCTGCCACACCCTTTCCTCTCAAATATTCTGAATTATTATCTGAGAGAAACTTCCAGTCTTCCCTGCCTGCCACTGCACTTGTCCTGGCTGACATCCTCGGCTAGGAGACGGATACCTTCCCTGAAAGAAATTTGGATTTTTCCCTGTCTTTGACAGTCTGGCCTTTGCTTTGGAGCCACTGGTTCCGAAGTCTACTGGTGGCAAAGAGGCAGAGTCATGAGCCTTCGCTTACCGCAGGACCCGCACAGCCATTGGCCCAGCCCTCTCGCTCAGGGCCCTTGGTCTTTGGGGTGGCTTTTGTGTGCTTTTCCCATTTTGAGGTGAAAACTCACTTGCAGAGAAGTTCATGTTAGTAACTATATAGAATGTAGGTCAGGTGTGCAACCCAAATCTTTTGTGGAACACAGACAGAAACACAAAAATCCAATGGGCAGTTCTTGTGTGGGAGGACCATTGGTCCACCTATATAGAATGTAGGTCAGGTGTGCAACCCAAATCTTTTGTGGAACACAGAAACACAAAAATCCAATGGGCAGTTCTTGTGTAGGAGGACCATTGGTCCACCTGGCTGGCTCACAGACCTCTTCCCCCTTGCAGTGGGTCCCCCCTTTGGGAGCGTGCTCTATGAGTTCGTGGGGAAGACGGCTCCCTTTCTAGTGCTGGCTGCCTTTGTGCTCTTGGATGGAGGTGAGTGAAACCTCACGGGCTGTGTGGTGGTGACCTTGGCATCTGTTATGGGACGTGCTCCAGACGTACCTGCTTTCCGGAAAGGGCCATCTGTGTTTTTTCCCTTGTAGCTATTCAGCTTTTTGTGCTTCAGCCATCCCGAGTACAGCCAGAGGTAAGCTGTTGGGAGGTGAGGGCCCCACAGTGGCCTGGGTAACTTTTCTAAACCCTGCTTTTGTTCAACAGAGTCAGAAGGGAACACCCCTAATTACTCTGCTGAAGGACCCATACATCCTCATCGCAGCAGGTGGGACTCCTGGGCTCTTGAAGTCAAATCTAGTTTTAGAGGGGTGGGTGGGCAGTGGGGGCTGTTTTCTACTTTCCTGTTGGAAATATGCAGCCAGGGACATGGGATGTCCTGCCCCATCCCAGCTTGCTAACTGCCTTTGTGTCAAAGGCCATCATTTCTCAGCCTTGAACTTTCTGGATGGCTTCACTTAGGAGGTCATTGATAAGTGTTCTCATTCCTTTGGCCTGTAGAAATAGGGACTGACAGCCAAACCCCAAGGAGACATTTGGACACACCCTTTGCCAGAAGTCATGCCTTTGGGCTCTGGGCCTAGATATATTAAAAGAAAGCTCTGGGGTTCTATGACTCTGGGAAAGGAGATGGGTTACAACTGTCCCATAGAGGCAGGTCACCTCCATGCTGGGCCTGGGGCTCTCTTCCCTTGACAAGACAAAAAGCTGAGACCACAAGCAGCCCTGGTGCCATGCAGAATGGCTCAGCCCTACAGGGAGGATTTGTTTAAGCAGGGCTTCCATACTACAGGAGAGCTGGGAATGCCCGGGAGAACTGGGCCTTGCCCTGAGATTTATATTCAACCTTTCCAAAGCTCCAGAATGGGGACTGTGAATGTAACTCAATTGGTAGAGTGCTTGCCTACATGCAGAAAGCTCTGGGTTCAATCCTTGGCAGTGCATAAACTGGGCTTGGTGGCACATACCTGTGATCCCAGTACAAGGTCATCTTGGCTCCATAGTGAGTTGAAGGCCAGCCTAAGATTCATGAAGCTTTGTCTCAAACAACAGCCATCACCAACGGAGCAAAGCTCCAGGCTGGTTTTTCTGTGAGATTTGGCCAGGGCAGCACACAGGCTGGGAAGCCAAAAAGGCCTGACCTCTTCATGCAGTTGACTCCACAGGGTGCAGGTGGCATCCCAGAGCTAAGGTCTCCTCCCTGCAGCCCTGGCCATAAGAGGTAGAAATTAGGGAAGGATGGGCTCTTAGAGTTGTGACTTCCTGAACCTTGAGCCTCAGTGATGGAAGGAAATGCAAAAATGTCCCCAACACTGTTCTTGATGTCTAGGGAAGTTGTGTGGCGGTGGGGTGGGGGGCAAGGGAGGAAGTTGGGAGCAAGGTGAGTGGGAGGAGAATCCAATCGCTCATATGTTCTGCCATTAAATGTCACAGAGAATGAAAGTGTTTCTTCATTATGTGTACACCATCTTGATTACACAGCTTTCTTTGAATTTGTTCTAGCAAATTATAGGTTCCACAGAGCACAACACAAGAAGCTTCTAGAATGTTGGTAGACCAGTCTCTGTGTCTTTTTCCAGATGGCTCTATATTTACAGAGTCTGGTTAACAGACTGATGAGGAATATTTACATAGCTATCCTATGTGCATATAGTTATGAAAACATCCGTCCCCAGCACGTGGTCTGGGGTAGACTATGACCTTTCTTAGATTTTCTGGCATCACAGGACATCGTGCATACAAATCCATTGCACAGTTATATGCAGTCACAAGAGCCTCAGGTTACTTCAGAACTGGGTGCAGTCTGCCACTTGCCTGGCTCCTAGTTGCCTCATGCAGCTTTCTTCCTTAATAAATTGGAAGTTCACTCATTAGTAAGTTGGATGGGTTAAGCCAAAAGCTCTTTAAGGCTCCTTCCAGTTCCAGACTTTATAACTCTGGGATTCTGCTTGTTTAAAATCAAAGTAATAATAAAACACTACTCGGAGTCCTCTTGGCTTGCTGTTTATTTTCTCTAATGGAAGTAGGGGAAGTTCTGGATCTCTGAGCTGGGGCACATGGGGTCTAACCGTGTCTGGGAATGGTCACAGGCACTTGGTAGGGAAACAGCAGCACAGTGATGCTCTGCTCTTCCTTCACAGGCTCTATCTGCTTTGCAAACATGGGGATTGCCATGCTGGAGCCAGCCTTGCCCATCTGGATGATGGAGACCATGTGTTCCCGAAAGTGGCAGCTGGGTAAGGACTGGGGTGGGTTTTTCTGACTCTAGAACTATTTTCTCTTGGTCTTTTTGAGAGGGAATTTCCCTGTAGCCCCAGCTGGCTTGCAACTTGCTATGTAGACCAGGCTGGCCTCAATCTCACAGAGATCAGCCTGCCTCTGCCCTGATCTGGGTCTGGCCTGACTCTAGGGCTTTTGTCCCTAGGTTGGGTCCCATCTGTGTGCCCTTCTGAACCACCTGTAGAAAGGTGGTAAAGTGCTCTCTCCTGTTTGACTCTTCATGGGGACAGTGCCTAAGGTGACTTTGGAGTCCTTTGCATCTCTAGGCTTTATATCTTTCCTGATAAATGAAAAGGAGAAAGTGTAATGAAATATTGAGGAGGGAGGGAGAGGGAATGTTCACACGCATCCTATTACAGTGTGTTGTTAGAATCTCATTCGTTAGTTGTTGATCCTTCACTGTGCCTACTTTATAGAGTATGTTTTATCACAAGTATGCAGGTATAGGAAGACGGAGCATCTACAGCATTTATACTATCCTCAGTTTCAGGCACCCACTGGAGTCTTGGAATGTGTCCCCCACCGAAACTGGCAGACTCCTGTAATTCCATCACAGTTTCTTGTTTGATTGGCATCCATCATTGACATTGTACCTGAGTGAATATTGCCCCCAAGCTGAACTCTGTAGGGCATTGTTATTGATTTCCTTTCTACCAACTCGTTTCTGTTTTTCCCCCTGGGGTTAGCCATTGCCTTCTCTTTTCCTAGTTTTCTGTATAGCACTGATGAATGTGTTCCCTGGACTCCCTGGCAGAGATGGAAGATGTTCTCAATGTGGTCGGGTCTATCACCTAAGCTGAGCTTTCTGTGGTCTGGCTCATTGTGGACAAGTTCTAGCTCTCTAGTCTAGAAACGGTGCTGTCTAAAGCCACATGGGGACTTCCCCCTCCATTAGCTGGACATCTTCTTTGCCTCACTTCTTCCTGTGCCCATATTTCCTGTGCTCTCTCAGTTTATTCCCTCTCCACAAGGGACCACATCCTCTGGCAGCTTTTGGAAAGAAGATGCTTAAGTCTGTAGAGCTCTGAGGTCCTGCATGTGTGCAGGTGTCTTTACTCACCCCTCGCACCTGGTTGTTTCAGTCTGCCATTGTAATTCATGGCTGGAAACCATTTTCCTTCACAGTTTTGAGGCTACTGTTCAGGTGCCTTCTGGCATGTGAGGTTCTGTAGAGGGGCCAGGGTTGTTGTCATTCTGGGTCCTCCTTAGGGTGATCGCTTCCTCTCTGGGTTATGAGCATCAGGGATGGTGATTTGAAGTGGGTCCATGCTTTTACTTGGAGACGTCATTTCAATTCTGGGAAATATTTTTCTATTACTACTTTAGTTAACTGTCTTTGACCTTACTGTCTCCTCTTTCACTCCACTTTGTGTATGCTAGACCTCCTTGTATATGGGGAGGTGTTGCTCACGTGTGTGGGTGCATGCATGCATGTGTATAGAAGTCAAAAGAAAACCTCTTCACTACCCTACCATCTTTTCATTGAAATAGGGTCTCTCATTGGCTTGAAACTTCACCAAATAGGCCAGGCTACCTGGACAGTAAGTTCTGGGGACTCACCTGTCTCAAACTCCCATCTCTTCATCCCTGGGATTACAAGTATACAGCACCACTCCGAGATGTTTATGTGGGTTCTGGGTATCAGAACTCAGAGCCTTATGCTTGTGAACCAAGAGCTTTACCGACTGCACCATCTCCCCAGCCCAGAACTCTTTTAACTTTTCTGTTTTGCCCACAATTAATTTTGGGGTCAGGATCTATTCTCTAGGCCAGGCTGGCCTGGGACGCTCTGTCCTTCAGCTTCCTGAGTGCTGGGATTACAGGGGCACTGCCGTTCTCTACTGTCTGTTAATTTGTTCATCTTCATCTTTTAAACTGTCTACTGAATTCTTAAACTTGGTGTTGTCGTTGAAGACCCATTTTGAGTGTGTGCCAGTACTGCTTTGCATATGTGGTGGGTGGTTGTGGAAGTGATGCCTTTTTCCTATCTTGGTATGCAGACTTTCATCCCATCCCTGACCCGGCCTTTCTGCTGCCCCTGCCTCCACGCTCTAGCCTTTGGCCAACTTTCACCTCACTGGATTCTCTGCTCCTGATCTTCCTACTTAATGAGGCACAGGGGTCTTGCTTTTTTTGCCATCTCCACATACAGGTGGAAAGTTCTAGCTTTCTGTATTCCTCTGTGCTAGGTAGCCTTAGTTATCAACTTGACACACCTGGATAGAGGGAGCCTCAATTGAGTAATTATCTCTGTTGGCTTGGCCTGCGGCCATGTCTGTAGAGCATTTTCTTGATTGTTGAGAGGGCCCAGCCCACTGTGGGTGGTGCCACCCCTGGGCAGGTGGTTCTGTGTTAAGAAAGCAGGCTGAGCAGGGGCCAGAGGAGCAAACAGTAAGTAGCATATCTCTAGGGTCTGTGCTCCAGGTTCCTGCTGTGAGGTCCTGCCTTGGCTTCCCTTGATAATGGACTGTGAGCTGTAAGTCAAATAAACCCTTTCCTCCCCATACTGGTTTTGGTCGGTGTTTTTATCACAGCAATAGAAAGCTAACTGAACACCATCTCTGTCTTTCTCTGACTTCTTCTCCATCTTAATATTTCTGCTCCCCTCCTGTATCTGTACTTAGGAGGAAGGGGGTGTGAAGTGGTCTGGAATTTCCACTTATTTTACTGACGTTTGAAAAGAGTTTGGCATGGGAGTGGAATACACCCCATAGATTCAATCTACCCTGTTTACTTGGAAGTCCATTGCTCCTTTTAATGCCTGTATATTGTTTTCTATTTTAAAGTAATGACTTCTCTATGTGTATGTATATATGTTTGTATTTGTGTGTACAGGTATTTAAGTGTGTGTGCATGTGTGTGTAGGTGCACACGCACAAGTGTGTGTATGTGTATGTGTGTAGAAGAGGCTGATGTCAAGTGTCTTCCTTAGTTTTTGAGACAAAGCCTCTCATTGAACCTAGAGCTCATCAATTCAGCTGGACTGGCTGAGCAGTGAGCTCCAGGGATCCTCCTGTCTCTGCCTCCCCAGCATCGGGGTTCCAAGTGCATACCAACACGCCTAGCTTTTTACATGGATTCTGGGAACTGAACTCAGGTCCTCCTGCTTACGTGGCAGGCAGTCCATTTTCGAGCCATCTCCCCTGCTCCATGGTATGTTTTTCAACTGGTCCCTCTTGAGGGGGGTTCTTAGTTCCAGTGTTTGCCACTGAACCTGCTGCAGAATACTCTTCTCCTGCCTGTCCCTCATGTTTAGACAAATATTTGTAGGACGCTTTCCCAAAGTCCAGCAATGTTTTAATAGCTGGTAGTTTTGCACTAACACGGGGATCAGCAGGCTTTCCCAATTATATAAGAACGGGCTCTCATTTGTATTTTCTCTTAAGTAAAAATGATAGATGGCTCAGTAGTTAAGAACGCTGGTCGTTCTTGCAGAAGACTCGGGTTCGAATCCCAGCACCCACATGGCAGCTAACAACCGTCCGTAACTCCAGTTCCAGGGAATCCGACAGCCTCTTCTGTCCTGTGCGGGCATTGCATGACATGGCTGCAGGCACCTACATGCAGGCAATATGGACATACACATAAAAATGAA